TTTTTTTTTTTTTTTTTTTTTTTTTTTTTTGAGAAGGTAACAAATTCCAATATATTGATAAAAGTAGTCCCTAGCACAAAGATTGTGCTAAGGAGTAACAAGTTACAAGACCCAAATTAACAAAAATCAATCTTGTAACGGCTACAAGGAGACAATGAGATCTACTAGAGACTCCTGCCTGTGGGATACTTATTCTTTATTTTTTACCAAGAACGCAGAAACTGAAATTCAGAAAAAGAGCAAATTTGTTTTATCATATATTGGTGAAGCCTTGAACTTTAAGTACTTTAAGGCCTCAAAAATAATACTCTAACTTCTTATCTACTCTTGACACCTAATATTCCTCATGGATTTCATTAATATCACATACCTAAGAAGCAGCTGCATGATGCAAACTTATTTTCATAATACCACCAAGGGATAAGGGTGGGATGGATGGGATCCCTCCACTCTTAATCAGACGTCTTAGGTTCAAGCCTTGAGAATAGAGAAACCCCTAGAAGGGAGCGCTTCCCCCTCATATGCAGCACAAATCTGGATTAGTCGGGCTAATAGATACCGGATACCAGATGGTTATACCACAAACAAACAAAAAAGCCATAATAAATTACAACAGTGGAAGGTGCACTAGTTTGTTTCAAACGTGTCAAAAAATTTGTTAATTCTTTCCACTCATTAAGCAAAGAGCAATAAAGTAAACAAAGAGCAATAAAGAATACACAACTTACCCCAACCAACACATGGTCAGAGAAGACATCAATTGCTGCAAGGATACCCCTAGAATAAAGTAAAAAAGAAAGCAGAAACAATTAGTGAAAATATGGCAATGACAATCCAAGGGAAAATGGAAAACCCCTGATAACAATCCACTTCATTTAACAGGCATCAATATTTCATCGTTCCCTTATTCATGCACAGAAAGAGCATTTTTCACCATTCAAGACCAGCATAGCTCACTCAGTTCATTAAAAAAAATCACATATCAGGGTACAACCAGCACTTTAAGGGGACAATTTGCTTTTATCTGTTTCATATCAATATGGAACAAATATCCTTATAAAAAAAAATCGATATGGTACAAATGCAGGAAAACTGATGCACCAATGAGGGAAACAGTAATCTGTTGGTCACAAAACTGAAGCATGTGCTTTTTATGGTGCATGACACTAGGGGTTTCTTGAGATCTTCAACTCTTCTAGCATCACCCTATGAACCAAAATATTTGAACAAACAAGGAGGAAAAGGTGACAAGGCAACTGCATCCAATTTAGCTGCGAGCACAGTTTCCTAGGATAACGTAGAATTTAAAATATATTTTCACCTAAAAAGTATATCCTTAAAGACTAAAAGGAAATTCTACTATGCTAAAACAGCCTATCAAACTAGCAGCTTCTACAGAACATTTCACTCAACGGTGCAAGGTTAATGCACTAAAAATTACAGAAGCAGAACTTACGTTAAGGATTTTCCGTGAAATACAATGGGAGGAGCAATAGCAGCAAGTATGCAAAATCCGATGTGAATCTGCACGTATAGAAACATAAAAGGTTAATTACTAAAAATCAAATCCGGACATAAAATAGGCAGCATCTTTATCACTTTTGTTAGCAGAACGAACCAAGTAGAACATGAAAAACCAGCCAAACTTCAGTGCGCTGTCAGTCCTGCACATCACCACAAGCTCAGAGTAAAAAGTCAGCATCCGGAAATCAAAAAATATGAAAAACAACTGACGGGATATTTTATTAAGGAGATTATGAAAAGATATTGAAACAACACTAGATACCTCATCGCGTTATACAGAGGCCTGTACCACAAAACGTACGAAAGGGGACATCCCATTAAAGCATATATTATAGCCAGGAAAAAGATTTTAACACCTAGATAAAGCAAGAACTAGATAATGTCAGAAGAATTGAACTCGAATTTTTTTTAAACCTTTAAACCAATAAAAGAGAATGACATATAAGCAGCAGCAAAGAGAGAATAAAACTCACCACCACCCCTAATCCAACAGATAGTCACGGCAAGAACATTGAACGCCAGACAAAAGACAATACCTGAAAAAGAATCAGAGCAAATCCAAAGAGGCGATGAAATAGAAGAAAATTCAGATAACACTTGAAAAAAAGAGTAAGGAAAATAGAAAAATATCCACATAGCACTTGAAAGAAAGAGTAACATTTGTGAGAGAGAAGCCAACCGTGCCATAAAGCAGATAGTCATCTATCCCAGTATATTCTTTTCCACAACAGCTATAAACCCTGTCATGTAACAAAAAATCTACTAGTTTCGCTTCAAGCTATTCAAGTTACTCACATTTCAACCTCAAATGTCGAGTCAAGTGAATTAGATGAAGTTGCCAAATAGCTTACTTTTAGGTTCCATATCTATTATCGTTTTGTTATTATTAGTGAAGAAACGGCTTTGCTGAATTTCAATCAAAACTTTGGACAATTGAAACTTCAGAGCTGAACGGTTGTTAAAGTTTGAAAAGATAAAATCAATACTTGCAACTACTTATTTTACGCTGCTTGGATCCCAGAGAGAGGTGTAAACAGAAAGTCTAAAGCCTTTTGACCCTAATCATAAATGGCAGCAGCGACAAAAACAGAAGTACTTTCATTCCATCTGTTTCTCTCATACATTATTTTTAAATTCAGTAAGCAAAATTTTATCAATGATAATGACAAACCAACCAATAAAATGGAGGCTGGTGTATGCAAAAATAGGCCATCCCTTTTACAAAACCAAAAGATCACTTCTATATAAAAGCTAGTCCTTGAATGAGCTAATGAATACTATCATTCTGCTTCTCCCATACACTATATGCTCCGTGGGTTCAGAAAATGAGGCTTGCAAAATAGAGAATGCATGCAACTTAAAGGAGAAAACAAGAAAAATGAAGGAATAGGTAGGGAAAAAAGTTGGAAAGTAGAAGTGAAAGGTTGCTTGCGAGAAAACCAAAATCTATACAGTGATAATCTACGGATAATCTACGATGGGGCACTTCTAAGGAAGGGGCATATACAGTGAAGGCAGGCTACAATAAACTTTGTGCTTTGAATGAAGTTATTGACATGTGGCCTTGGAAGCTAATCTGGAAAACCAAAATGCCTACAAAGGTCTGTTTTGCATGGACGACTCTTAAAGATGCTATTTTGACACAAGACAATCTTTGTAGGAGGAGCTTCCAGATTGTTAATAGATGCCACATGTGTAAGCTAAACTCAGAATCAATCAATCACCTATTTCTGCATTGCACAATGGCTATTGATCTCTGGCACATGTTCTTCTCAATTTTTGGTATCAGCTGGACACTACCTCAGAACATTAAGGAAGCAGTTGAAAGCAGGAGCTTTTGGAAAGTCAGCAAGGCCATCAAAAGTATCTGGAAAATGGTCCCAGGTTGCATATTTTGGTGTCTTTGGACATAAAGGAATCGAAGATGTTTTGATGGCATTTCAACTCCTATTCACTTTTTGAAAGCTAGATGTCTGGTGTATCTTTTTAGTTGGAGTAATATCTCCCCTGTAAATAATGTTATCCCCTTTCTAGACTTTATTGGCGCAATGAGCCTAGCCTGATGGCCCTTTTTTTGGTTAGCTCCCTATGATTAGAACAGCACATGATGTACTGGAGCTAACATCTCTTCTTTTGTACTAATTGCATCTTCTTGATGCCAGCAATACAACACCTTACTTCATCAAAAAAAAAAAAAAAACCAAAATCTATCACCTTAACTTCTGCATCTTTCAAAGTTAAGACTGGTGCAGAGTATGGAAAGGAGAGATGTTACAGACTGGTGCATACACTTTGACTTGCAAGTTCGAGGCTTTTTTACAGAATTTTCAATGTCACATAACAGAAGTGTATGCCCCAAATTGTAGAATAGAAAGGAAAATAGTATGGAGAGAAATTGGTGCAGTGAAAGGATTGATGAAAGGTCCTTGGGCGGTTTGTGGTGATTTAAATGTTACAAGGTACCCTTCTGAAAAACGGGAATGTTCAAAGAGGTCCAGGGCCATGGTGGAATTCTCGGATTTTGTAGAAGATATGGAGTTGATAGACCTTCGACTTGAAGGAGGCTACTATACTTGGTTCAAAGGGGACAATCATACAACCGCTTCAAGAATTGATAGATTTCTCATTTCAGAAGAATGGGATGAAAGCTTCAGAAACATCAAGCAAATTATCCAACAAAGGCTGATTTCTGACCATTCACCTGTGGCTTTATACTGTGGTGCTTGGGAACAAGCTAAATCATACTTTAAGTTTGAAAATTGGTGGCTGAATGTGGAAGGTTTTGATGACAGAATTAGAGACTGGTGGACATCTTTTGAATTCTCAAGAAAACCAGATTACATTTTAGCTTGCAAGTTAAAAGCGCTCAAGGGCAAGCTAAAAGAATGGAGCAGAAGTTGTGAAGGTAATTTGGGATTGCAAAAATCAAAATTGCTGAGTCAACTCGCAGGTTTTGAGGCAACACAACAACTAAGAGCGCTGACAGAGGAGGAATCAGTGAGGAAAGCAATTACTCTAATGGAGATTGAGGAACAACTAAGAATGAAGAAAGTGCATGGAGACAGAAATCAAGAGCTCTGTGGCTCAAAGAAGGGGACAGGAATACAAATTTTTTCCATCGTACTGCCAATGCACACAAGAGAAACAACATCATTGATCAACTATCGATTCGACATGTAGTCGAGGATCCAGCCAGAATAGAGAACGAGATCATTGAATTCTACAAGGGGTTATACACA